TTGATTTAGTGGATTAAGTCCTTGTTGAGAAAGGAAAATCACCTTGGTAGGGTGGACTGGATTAGTTTGAGTTCAAACGAACCATGATAAAAATACCTTGTTATTTTTCTATCAACTTAATTGTTTTAAAACCCTTATTCAACCCCCCCCCCCTTCTAAGTGTTTTTCCTACCTTCATATTGAAGATTTGGTTTTGATACATGATGTGTGGCATCTAAGAAAGTATCTACCAGTTTCTGATATATAATGCAAGATATCAAGTATGATAAGAAAAATTAGGTTCTGATACGTCTACAGTATTATGATAGCAAGCTAGGTTATGAGATGGAGACCATCCACTTCTAGTCAGATTCTGATGAGACGTCACTGAGAAGTAATCTTTCTCTGTTGATATGATTCTACTTCAAAATCACTTTGTGAGTCTTGGGATCCGGGGGAGACTCTGAACAAGCATAAATGAATTTTGAGAGTAACATAATCAGGGGGAGCCCGTTAAAATTATCTCTGACTCTGTGGATTTATGGTGATTACCCTATACAAATTGTCTATCAAAATGAATTATTTTTCATCATAAAAAAGGGAGATTTTAGGAACAAGATTTGGTTATACATCTGGCCTCTGAGTTTTGATGATAATGCATATATTATCTAAGAGAATAATTCTGTATGATATGGCTTCTGTCCAGTGTGTGACTGTTGTCAATATGATTCTGACTTTGATAAGAAGATGTGTGACGTCATCAGACTCTGTTATCAACACTCTAGAAGAAAATATACGTGTGTTCAAGATAAATTTAAGATTCAAGAATGTTTCTAATACAACGGTTCTAATGAACGTTAGTTATGGACATTCTAATTGAGACTTTATGAGAAAGGCCTATAAGGCTTTCTAATGTGACGCACTTCTAATGTTACAAGTTATGAAGATTTTAAAGACGTGATTTAGGTGAACGTCGTTCTAAAGATTCTAAAGGCCAAGTTCAGGTGAACGAAGTACTAAAGACTCCAAAGACAAGAATGTGCTTAATGAATTCTAAAGACTCTAAAGACAAGAATGTGCTTAATGAATTTTAAAGACTCTAAAGACAAGGTTCTGAAGGAACAGGTTGTGAAGACTCTAAAGATATTACTTCTAAAAGAATGAGTGCTGAAGATTCTTAAGATATTTCTGTTGAACAAAGGTCTTGGAATTCTAAAGACTGGGTTTCTGAAGTTGCAAAGAATTGACTCTTCTACAACATGATTCATCAATGTTTTATTTGAAGCCACTGAAGACATTAGAAAGACTAAAGATAAGAATGGTTTTGAGCTTAACACACTAATATAAAACCCGTGACCTTTACCTCAATAAGGTGGCACAAGAGCAGCTTTTCGTACAATGATGTTGACCATTCCTTCATGTGAACGTTGAGATATTGCTGTTGGAATATGTTTCCAAGAATTCCCCCAAAAGATCTATTCTCTCAAGCTCTATAAATTAAAGATCAAAAGCTTGAAGAATTTCTGGTTGCTGGTGATATCACGTTGTTATGCAAAGCCAAAGTGCTGAAGAAAATGCTACAAGATGAAGCTTAAATGAAGAATGCTCAATGAAGAAGAAGCTGAAGCAAACTGTTTGAATGTGTGTACAAACGATGAATATGCTAAAGCCATATGAAACTAGTCATGTGAAACATCAATAAGTGAAGCATAGTAACTTAGTTGATCTTGATGGTTAAGCTGGAAGAAGCATTACCTGTTCAAGAAAGGAGTTCATCAGAAAGAAGCTTAAACCTGATGAAAAGAAGTCGTAGTGATCAATAAGAAAGCTTTTAAGAAATACATAACTAGTATGCTTTATAATCTCTTAGAGATTTATCGTTAGATAATTTTGTATTAGAAAGCAAGAAGTTGTTGCTCAAGAACTTGCTAGAAACACTTAGGTGTTCATGTACTTCATTTGTGTAATCAGCTTGTAAGAAACATGTTAGTGCACAAGAAAATCCTTGTAAAAGGTGTTGTTCCTTGAACGGTCAAGTGAAGACCAGAGTGCTTGAGAAGACTAAGCGTGTTTCTAACAGCTTAGTGGATGATGTTCCTTGAGCGACTAAGTTGTTAGCCAGGATGCTTAAGAGTGTTAGGTCGTTTTCTAACGGCTTGGAGGTTGATTCCTCGAGAGGCTAGTGAGATCTAGGATTCTCAAGAATGCAATGGAAGGTATCCGTTGTGGTTGTAATCATTGATGATTATTGGATTAAATCCATATTTAAGGCAAAATCACCTTAGTGGGTGGACTGGAGTAGCTTCGTTAACAGTGAACCAGGATAAAAATAATTGTGTCATTTACTTTTATTGTCGTTGTTAGATTTATCTTTCTAATTCTGCAAAAGGGGACAAATTCTGAAACCCAATTCAAACCCCACTTTCTTGTGTTACTCAACCTTCACTATATACTCCGATAGAATGACATGCGAATCATGTATCACTGCTCCTCATTTTCTCGAGCGTGTCATTCGACATTTCAAATACACCCTGACCTTCCCCAGACACCCTGCTGTCTCTAATCCTCCTGCATCGTCTCATAGACAAATAGCAGATATGTTTGTTGATTTTCATAGTCACCTGGTACCGGACGAGGCTTAGGCTACCATTGGGCCGAATGACTAGTGCTAAGTCGATAGATACATCAGGTGGTTCTTCAGGATCTCACATCCGTACATGGTGCAGACTGCTCTAAGAGATCCGTCAAGACCATCTCATCAGGTGATTATAGAGGAGAAGTTGGATCAGCTAGATAATACTGAGGATGTCTTTCCTCAATAACGTCACATAGTTGAGATTGCGCGAGGTGACATTGATGAGGGTATCTTCCCTAAGGGGTCTGCTGTCAGGCGAGTCATGGATGCCATGGTGGCGAAGGCACAGGGGGCACTGTTGTACCAGAAAAATCGCTGGAGGATGGGGGAATCGATAGGCAAGGGGACAAAGCAAGCAGAAGAGGTAGGGGAGAGATTTTCTAGCACACCTAGTAGTGACCTGTTTTTATTTTGATGTTGTATTATAGTTTGCACTTTATTTTTTACATTGTTATTACATTTTGGATCTTAAAATGTACGATATTTTACTACTATTTTCGACACACGTAATATTAGTCTTTTATTAATTTATACGTCTGTATTTTCATCTGAAAACAAATACACAACTCGTTATAAAAAAACTGTTTGGATATACTATGGGGATGTATCTCCAGAATTTTCCTGTAGATGCATCTCCAGAACAAATCGAATGTAAATGGGTTAGTGTGACATGTTCAGTATGTTTAAAGTTTAAAATTGTTTCGGAGATATATCTTCGAAATATGTCAATATTTACTCAGGAATGGGGTGCGTCCGGAGATATATCCCTGAATATATGGAGCATTTTTGAAATTTGGCACGATAAAGTAAAAACATGTAGGGTGCAATAAGAAATTCTCATGTTTTAAAGAGTGATTTCTAGTAGCTAAGCGGCGAAGCAATATTTCCATTTATTCAATTAGTTGGCGGATCGATTCCTGCCATTTTACTTTTTTTAGTCTTTTTTTTGTCTATTTTTTTCACCAATTTTTATAATAATTAATTTAAAATTTTATAAATATTTATCTATAAAAAATAAATATTAAATTTAGTTATTTTATTTTTATTTGAGAAAATCATGTATAATTTTGATTTTAATATCTTTATTTTTATTTTGTCACAAAATTTTCTACTATAGTTTATACATGAATAAAAATAAATATTTTTAAAGAATAATTTTAAATTAAATTTCTAAAACAATACTTGCATTTTAATATAATTTTTAAATTATAAAATTATAATAAGTACCTATTTTATTATATTTCTCAAGAAGTACATTAAATTAGTAATGTTTTAAATATTTTAATTAATTTTACATTATTTAGAGACTTAATTAAAAAATAATAATAATTTAAGAAATTTATTGATAGTGTATTTTATTTTAAAATAAAAAATTAATACAAATTTTATCAGATATAAGATTTTACTTTAAAAAATTGATAAATTCTCAAATACTCATGCTAAGTAGTTAGGTATTAGTACTTTTAGTGTAAGTTATTTTTAAATAAATAAAAATAAAAATGAATAAATATTAAATTATTTTATTTGATTAGTTAAAAGTACAATATCCAAAAGGATATCGAAATGTTAATCTAAAAAATTTTATTTTAATTTTGCCTTTGGGCATTTCATATAAAATTTATTTTTCAACGTTCAATAAGGTCAAACTTATAAAATTTTTATAATAAAAGTTTAGCATCAAAGGTCAACACTTCAACATGTGTTTTATGTCCAGCCATAGAAACATTGCGTAAGTAAATTGTGATGCACTAGTTTTTCTCTTTCATTAAATGCAAAAAGGTAAAAACCGTTCCCTCTAGCATAGTAACTATGGATGACGGTGCAGATGTTGTAGAAAAACATTCAGATCAACTTCAATGGGAGTTCTTAGAGTGGGTTTGCCAACATGACACTCATATTTATTGTTTTCAAGATAGAAAAGTTTTTAAATATGCAACGGTTCTTCAATGGTTATTATATTAAAATATTAATTTTATAATATAAAAACTATAATTTGATATAAAATTTTATTTATTATTTTAATTATTATTTTAATTAAAATTTAAATATTTAAATTATAATTTTAAATAAAATAAATTTAATATAAATAATATTTTTTAAGTAAAGTGGTGGGACCCAATATGAATTCTTTAAAGTTGTATCATTGGAGTGAAAATTGAATGAGTTGCTTTAAAAGAGTGGGTCCCACAAAGAACCTAAAAATAGATTGCACCATTGGTGATGCTCTCATGCAGCTTTCACATTTAATTTGCTGCAACAGTTGAAGAAATTTTGTATACTGATTTTTCATTGCCTCATTTTCTTATAAATAGAGGCATTGCCTTATGTAACAACACATCCTCAAGTATATCAACCCTAAACCATATTTCTCGTAATCCTATTCCATATGGCTTTTCAAGAAGAAACCCTAAACCTTCAAATGAAAGATTTTGTGCTTGTGAAACCATCAAAGTCCACTCCTTCTTGTATTCTTTCTCTTTCCACAATTGACAATAGAGATATCTATAACAACCATTGTCATATTGTTCATGTATACCGATCATCGCCGATTCATGATTCTGATTCGAGTTTCGACATTTTTCATGTATTCAAAGAAGCACTTTCAAAGGCTTTGTTTTATTATTATCCTCTTGCAGGTATACAATATTTTAGGTTTTGTTTTAGTTGTTAAATATATATAATATTTTATAGAGCACAACTTCTTATAATTCAAACTCTATATGTTGCAGGTAAGCTAGTGGAATCTGCTGATGATGGAAAACGTAGAGTCCACTGTAATCCTAATGCAGAAAATTACGGTGTTCCATTCTTGGAAGCAACTGCTAATTGCACCCTTTCATCTCTTCACTATTTGGACAATACTGACCTAGAAATTGCTAAGTATTTAGTGTTTGATCCTCAAGATAAAAGTTACCCTTTGGTGTTGAAGGTAACAAAATTTCTTTGTGGTGGTTTCACAATTGGAATGGGAGTGTTGCATGCAGTCTGTGATGGATTTGGTGTATCTCAATTCTTGAAATCAATTGTTGAACTTTCGAAGGGAAGAACGGAGCCCTCGGTGATACCTGTGTGGGAAAGAGAGAGACTAGTTGGATCAATAACTAAACAACCATTTCCAGAAAGTCCCATGAACAATGTTGCATTTTCACCTTTTCTGAATGAAACCAGTAGTACAGTTATCAAGAAATATTGTTTTAAAGTGGAGGGTGAAATGATGAGAAGGTTAAAGTTGAGTTTGATGAAGGAAAATGAAAATCTAGGGTTCACAACTTTTGAAGCTCTGGCTGGTTTTGTGTGGAGGTCAAGAGCAAGAGCTTTAAAACTTAACAACAATGGAGAAACAATGTTATCTGTGCTAGTTGCCATGAGACGCAACTTGAAGGATTTTGAACCTTTACCTAAAGGGTATTATGGTAACTCTTGTGTGGATGCAAACCTAGTGTTGAAAGTGAGTGAGCTCAACGAAAGGCCACTCTATGAAATTGTTAAGCTCATCAAAGAGACTAAAAAAGTTGGTTCTACTAGTGAGTATGTCAAAAACTCAATCGACACATGGGAGACGTATGGTAAGGAGAGTTGGAAAATGAAAAGTGGCGGTGCAGTAACAGTTCTGACAGAGTGGAGGCATTTGGGTTTTGAAAGTGTAGAATTTGGTGGGAATGAAGTGGTGAATCTAGTACCAGCACCATGCAACTTGTTTGCCAATGTGGATATCAGCATTTTTACATCTTCTAATAAAATTGATGATGAGAATGATCCATCAATGAAAGGAGGAGTTAATCTTTTCACATCACTCCCTGTTGATGCCATGCCTAGGTTCAAAGAGGAAATTGAATCTTTAAGGTTTCTTAGTTGAAGTTTGAATTTGAAAAATCTATTGAAATTTGAAATTGCCCGTGTTTCAATTTTAGAGAGTTCATGTTTCTGTTTGTTTTGTTACGTTACAATTATGTAATAATTTTAAACTTTATGTTTCTGTTTTAAGTAACGTTGGAGTGCTTGTAATGGTGTGCAAGTTGTTATAGTTATAAAAACTTTTCTTTGTCTTCCAATATATCATCTTATTATCTTTCTCTCCTATGTATATTATAATCTTCTAAATTTAAAAGAGAATTATATTACGACACGTCATATTTCATATAATTTTATATTTCCGATATCAATTAAAATTTAGTATGTCACTCTTAAAATTTAATTTTAATGAGGTTTCTATGAGTGGGTTGCTTGTGCGCTTTTGTCTTCTGGGTGGGAGGAAGAGTGGGGTTAGAGTAGTCTTTGGGCCCTAGCCCGTGATGTTTTAGATCACTGTCCATGTTTGGTCAAATATCTCTCTCAGCATTGGGCGATAAGTTCTTTAGGTTTAACAACTTCTGGTTGGATGCTTTGAACTTCGATTAGTTGGTTAGTGATTTCTTTGTGGGCAAAGGTCTGTCGACATTGATGGATTGCGTACATCCTTGAGACAAGTTGAAAACTCTTAAAACCTCTCTTATGGTTTGGAACAATGAGGTGTTTGGTAATTTGGACTCTAGGATCAGGCTTGCTTGAGTAAGCTTCGGATTTTAGAGTTGAGGGGTGAGGTAGTGCATCTTAATCAAGAGGAGTTAGAGGGTAGATCGATGTTTTTTCAAGAGTTAGGGGAACATATTCAGTATCGTCATTCACATCTGTTTTAAATATCAAGAGCAGTGTGCCTTAAGGAGGGAGATGCGATTATATGGTGCTTTTATGCATGTGTTAAGTAGAGAAATCGTTTGCATAGTCCAATTGTTCTTTGTGTTAGGGACCTATGAGTGGATAAGAGGTCAGAGGTTGCAGGGGAGGTTTCTAGGTTCTTAAACAGGACTTCTTAGATTCAGTAGGTTATAAGCCTACCATTGATAGGGTTATCCTTCTGTGTCTCTCGTTGACTAATGCAGAGTCCCTTTCTATTAGGTTTACTTTTGAATAATTAGAGGAAGTGGTCTTTTGGATTCATGGGTCCAAGATTTCGGGTCCGGATAAGTTTAATTTTCCCTTCTACAAGAAATTTTGAAGCTTATAAAATAAGAGGTATTTGAGATGTGTGACCAGTTTTTCTTAATGCCATTTTGCTGAAGAGTCTAACATCTTTTCTTTTGTTTCCCTTATCCCTAAGGTAGATTTTCATTTGGGTTTGGGAGATTTTAGGTCTATCTCTCTTCTTGTTTCTTTATATAAATTAGGGGTTAAGGTGTTGGCTGCTAGGCTAGTAGGGGTTATGAAGAATTTAATTTCTTTTGAGCAGTCACCCTTTGTAAATAGGAGACAATGGGTTGATGTTATGGTTGCTCTGAATGAAGTTTTAGATCATGCTAGAAGGTCAAAGGGGGAGTGTTTTATGTTTAATATGGATTTTGAGAAGGCTTTATGAATTTATTAGTTAGTATTTCTTAGACTACTTGTTCGTGAGATTTGGTTTTATGGTAGGTGGAGAGCATGGATTAGATCTTGTGCCTTTGTGTCTGTGTATGGGTGCTCAACAGGAGGATACCAATATCTAGAAGGGTCTGAAGCAAGGAGACCTCTTAGCACTCTTCCTTTTTCTTTTGGTTGTTGAAGTCCTTAGCGCTTGTGGTGTTTATGAAGGGTTTAAGGTAGGGAGTAAAGGGTTACAAGTCTGTCATCTCTATTACGCTAATGATATGACGCTTGTGGGGGCTATGTCAGTTGATAATCTTTTGACTATTAAGGCAATTCTCGTAAGTTTTGAGCTTGCCTCAGACATTAAAGTGAATTTATCCAAGAGTTGTCTTTATCGTGTTAATGTGGACAAGGTTTTTGTAGATAAGGTTGAGAAGTATTTCTATTGTAAGGTGGATACCCTTCCCTTTAAATATTCAGGGCTTTTAGTGGGTGCAAACCCGAGGAAGAAATGGACTTGGATCTTATAATTCAACAAAGTCTCTAAGAAATTAGCTTCATGGAGGAATATGTTTGTGGGTCTTTGAGGGAGAGTGGTCTTATTGAATTTGGTGTTAAACTTTACTCTGATGTTCTTTTGTATTCTATGAAGCACTATGCCAAAAAAGACCTTTAGCAGCGCTTTTTTTGGCCTTTAGCAGCGCTTAAAAATGCTGCCAAAAGTGGCGCTGCTAAAGGTAAAGGTAGCGCTTTTTTTTAATGGAAAAAGCGCTGCTAAAGGCTCCCTTCAACAGCACTTTTAGCAGCGCTTTTTGAGCCCTTTAGCAGCGCTTTTATAAGCGCTGCATATTCCCCATAACCCTCCCCCCCTTTAGCAGCGCTTTCACAAAGTGTTGTCTTAGACCCCACCTTTAGCAGCGCTTTTACAAAGCGCTGTCATAGCCCCCCCTTTAGCAGCGCTTTTTAGAAGCGCTGTCTTAGACCCCCCCCTTCCCAACCTATAGCAACGTTTTTATAGCGCTATGTTTGTAACCTTTAGCAGCGCTTTTTTGTAAAAGCGCTGTCTAATGTCCCATATTTTAAATTTTTTTTTAAAAAATATTCACGTTGTTTTGTATATTTACCAACAACCTACTTATATTACACAAACCTGCTTATAATTCAGGCCTTTATTTCAACACTTTGGCCTTATATATACAATTCAAAACTTTGGCCTTATATATACAATTCAAAACTTTGGCCTTATATATACAATTCAAAACTGTGGCCTTTAAGTATACATTGTAACTCATCACTTTGCCCATAATCATTTTAATACACATAAACCTGCTTAAATATGTTACAACATCACAAATACAGTCAATTTACATATAATTACAATTCTTCCAATCCGATAACTTTATACAATTCTCAACTCAAGAATAAATTGACATCATTCCTCTTTAATTTCTTCCAATCTTGCTTTCGAGTAAGTAGCGCACTTGAATTCATCAAAATACTACATAATATAACAGAACATGCAAGATTTAATTTTAAAACTAATTACTCAGATGAAGTATCGGATAATTATCAAAATGAATCATATAACTTATGAATTGATCCATACCATGATTGGAACCTCTATTTGACCAGAAAGAATAATTTCCTTCATAAAGCGCAATACAAAAGATCCACAGTCAATCCCATTGCGCTGACGAGGACACTGTAAATGGAAAAAACAAACAAACATTTATCAGGATATATAGTTTAAATAGTTTTATCAAGTAGAACCATTATAACAGTCAAACATGGGAAAATATACCTCCACTCTGATCCAGTTGATGTTGTTAGCCTTGCTTTTTGGCACCGTTGCATCTCTTTGTGCTCTGAATATTTGTATAACTCTAACATAATATAAACGCATATTTAGAACAACGTCACATAATAAATAAAGATATATAATTATTCAGAACAATATATCTCATCACTTACGTATCAACCATGTTCCTCATATTTTCATATTTTGTTGCATCGCCATCCAATGAATCTATATAATACACTATTTCTTTCCTCGGATTAATCGCGACCAACAACCAATGTCCACTATAAAATAAGACAACAGTTTAGACGGAAATGTTATATAGAAAGGCAAAAATCGAACAATTATAATAAATGAATTTAGAATAAAATCTAACCCATGGCCAGTATTATATGGCAACAAGAACAACTTCTCCGTAGTCGCGCCCATAAATCTCTGCACTGTGTACTCTTTGACTGCATCTGGTGTCTGGTCTATTGTCCGTGAGTTGACACAGCTAGCAGATAAGAATGCGAATACTGAAGTCAAATCATTCGGGACCAACAACTTGTCATACAAGAGCCTAAAAAAACATAATCAACATTAGAATATTCAGTTAAACGAGCAAATTTTAAAATGTTCAATTATTTAATTAAAATGGATCGAAGTACCTGATATAGGAATGCATAACACCGACGCCCAATTCATAATGGTTGAAAACCTGGTCAAAATCCTCCTTAGCAATTGTTTCGGGATATTCAAAACCGAAAATACCTTCGTCCATATGTATTTGACGGATGCCACCCTCAGGCACATCTGATGTTCTCACATATGTTTCAAGGCACATCCTAAATCGAGGAACAAATGCTTTTCTGGACACCTTGGAAGTTTCAGGCATCTTACCCTTGCTGACTTGTTGCGACTGCTGATCATGAACCTAAAAGTCATATATAAGTTCAGTAATTAATGTATAATAAGATAATCATGTAACTGTAGTAGTACTTGTTTCTTTGATGCAGCTGAATCGGTATCCCGCACAATAATTCTATCATCTTTTGATTTGGATTTTGTAGGAGTCTAAGATCATCATGTAAATAAGAAAATGTAAATGTAAGAATAACTTTCATGTATGGATCATAAAACATTTGAATATTAAAAGGTTCAACCTACCTCATCATCTATGCAAATGAGATTTGTCGCCATGCCACATACGCTCCTATTGTGTCTCCCACCACTGTTGCGCCTGAAACAACATCTGGTATAGGCAACAACGCACCCCCCTCTAATGCAATATCAATAGATACTTTCAAAATTCCAGAAGGGAGCGGTTTGTGGTGAAGTAAGTCTCCCAGAGTGTTATGCACCTTTCCCTTGCCAACCATTCGATGAGTCGGTGACGATAAATATAGCCGGCAAAGTGAAATGCCCTAAACAAATAATGATCGATTAATGTGTCAATTAAGTAAACTGTGCTAAATTAATTTCAATGTAATATATACAATTACCTCTGGAAGCTTCTGCGGACAACCAATACTATCTTTGTCACTAGTAGCTTTACCCTCTGGAGCGCGCCTTTCCGACATGTATCTCTCCTTGTCCTTCTGTAATTCACGAATCTGCGCTTTCAATTCCTCCAAAGTATCCATCACTTCTTTATTGGTTGGATCTTTTTTCTTTGGCTGCTTATACAGTTTGGA